AGTAAAATACCACAGCCTCCAACAAATCCCTCATACCCCTCCCATCCCGCAGCCACCCCAGACCGACTTACCTAGGAACTCATTTCTGGTCCAAGCCTGGCTCCCCCTTCCCATTGTCACGTCTTCCCCGGCATTCTCTAGACCCACCCAGACCCCAGCCAGCCAGGTGGATCCACTTGTCTCTGACCACCGAGTCCTTTGCTCTTGGTCCCTGACCTGGAATGCCCCTCAACAAGAGCAAGAATGCCCCACTCTTCACGCTTATATTCCATATTCTCCATGAACCCTGTAGTGTAAGCCTTCAGGCCACGGAGGCCTGAGTTCAAACCTGGATCCTGCCACTTTGTGACCTTTGGCAACTCCTGAAATTCAGTTTTCTTAATCTGGGAAATGGAGGTAACAGTAGTTGCCGCCTCACTAGGAAGTCACAAGAATTAGATATGTTTGTGAGGTACTGGGCACAGGGCCTGGCACATTGTAAACACTCAGCAAACTAGCACCACCGCCCTCCCCCTGCACACACCCCCAGGAGGCCTCCCTCTAGACAGTCAATACAGCTTATTTTCACTAATCGCCCACTTTGGGATGGTTCTCTGAGCCGCATCCTCATTTCCAGGGTAAATTTGTGGATGAAGCTGCTAAGGGGCCCTCACATTTTCTGATGGCTGGTTTCCCAGAACTCTAGCAGGATCCCTGATGTGGGAAAGAGGGGCAGTGGGGTGGGTGCTGCACCCCCCATAGCAAGTCGGGCCCTGGGGGCATGACCACATTTGTGCTATGAACCTCTCAAGGATGGTGTCCCCCCAGGATTCAGGCACCCTGGATGCCTCCAACTCCCTGAGGCTGACTTCAAGCTGCAGAGACTGAAGAAGGGGGCCGCTCAGAAAATGGGGGGGTGGGGGGCGTGAGGCTCCCCTCGGAGGAATATTCAGATGACAAGAGCAGCCCTCTGCTGCTGGAGAGGACAGACGGCTGGGATCTGGGCAGAAACAGAATGAACTTCCTGTCCCAATGCTGTGGGCACTTCCACTGCTCCCCACCCACCATCATGTCACCGGGCATAGTGTCCCCATGCTCTGGGTAGAGAGGGCCCCCAGGTCCCCAAGCCATCAAGGCTTTCTTTGGACCCTGGACTTTCTCCTCAGCACCTTAAGGTCAACATGGATTGTGCAAGCCCCTTCTGTGCCCCGGGCACTGGGGGATAAATGAACTGATGAGCCTCATTTATCCCCTAGCAGCACTGTGAGGGAGGGCTTTTCTAACCCCCTTTTCACAGATGAGGAAACAGACTNCTATGAACCTCTCAAGGATGGTGTCCCCCCAGGATTCAGGCACCCTGGATGCCTCCAACTCCCTGAGGCTGACTTCAAGCTGCAGAGACTGAAGAAGGGGGCCGCTCAGAAAATGGGGGGGTGGGGGGCGTGAGGCTCCCCTCGGAGGAATATTCAGATGACAAGGGCAGCCCTCTGCTGCTGGAGAGGACAGACGGCTGGGATCTGGGCAGAAACAGAATGAACTTCCTGTCCCAATGCTGTGGGCACTTCCACTGCTCCCCACCCACCATCATGTCACCAGGCATAGTGTCCCCATGCTCTGGGTAGAGAGGGCCCCCAGGTCCCCAAGCCATCAAGACTTTCTTTGGACCCTGGACTTTCTCCTCAGCACCTTAAGGTCAACATGGATTGTGCAAGCCCCTTCTGTGCCCCGGGCACTGGGGGATAAATGAACTGATGAGCCTCATTTATCCCCTAGCAGCACTGTGAGGGAGGGCTTTTCTAACCCCCTTTTCACAGATGAGGAAACAGACTCAGAGAGGTTGGGGAGCTTGCTCAAGGTCACACAGCCATTAACCAGGATTGGGACCCCAGCTGGCTGCCTGGAGACCTGAGTCCTGATCTTACTCTCCACACCACCCTGCCCCCTTGCCTGGTGGTGTCTCTGCTGCGGCCCCGAAGACTGGGCACAGGGCTTGAATATCGTCTGTTGGCGGGAATCACCGCCCATCACTCCACCCAGGACTGGGGCAGCTGACACCCCCCTCTTACCTGCAGCTGCTGTGACTAAGTCTTAGCTCCACATCAGCCCAGCAGGAAAACTGGAGGGAAGAATTGGCTGAAGGACAGGAAGAACTGCAGGGAAAGGAGACCCCAGACGCCCTGGAGGGGGCTCCTGGTGGAGGCCTCCGGACCAGAGCCTAACAGCTTCCTCAGCAGGGGTGACCCCAGGGTGGCATCAAGACAGAAACGGTGGCCACCAACCTTTAATTTCCAGAGTTCCCAGGCCTCTTAGGGGAAATAAGCAGTGGAGCAGAGGGACCAAAGGAGCCCACCAGGGACCCCTGGTCTGAGGAGAGGCTGTCTCCGCAGTCCCAGACCTCGAGAGGGAAGGTGGGTGAGAGAATTGAAACAGGCTTCTAGCTTGGGAGAGGCGTGCAGCAAAGCAGAGCTGACATGGAAGACAAGATGGCAGCCTCGGGCTGGGGAGTGGGGTGTGGTCCGAGGAGGGTCGACATGCCCAGCTGGACCTGCTTAGAGCTGGGGAACTCAGGAAGACAAGGAACTGTTGGGGCCGAGGGCCATAAGATTGAGCCTCCCCTGGAGCTGGTCCAGAATACCACCAGAGAGAAGTCTCCCCAACAAGAAGCCCAAGGAACCAGAGACACAGAAGTGGTAGGAATGTGCTTCAGCCTTGAAGGCCCAGGCCACAGATTGGGCTTGCTGTGTGGTCTTGTGTATGTTGGAGGAGGGGATCCAAACTCTCCAGGGCCCGGGGCCCCCTACTGTGAAATGACAAACCCAAATATCATTTTGGGAGGCACGTTGGATCAGGGCTCACTGACTTGGCACTGGAACATGGCACAGGTGGGCAGGACAGACTCACCCTGGTGCTGGGGGGGGGGGG